CCGAAGGGTTAAGCAAGTCATAACAAGTAATCACAATCAAGAAAGGTAAGTACATGATTAAAGCCTAAACGACCAATTAGTACCGTATTACCTAATTTGGTAAATATCTGAGAGGGCCCATCACGCTCAGGCCCATGTCAGATGCTATAAATAGGTCACACGTAACAAGGTATGTCACTGTTCATTCATTACCCTAGAAAATCGTGCCCACACTGACTTAAGCATCGGAGTATCTTTTGCAGGTACCTCCCCCTCCGAAGAATCCACCTAGAGCTCTCGTTCGGTCCTCATATTCCCCTGAAGATTACGAGTGTACCCTCAGGCAGTTACACATATGGTTTCATTAAGGCTCAATTAATAAGTTAATTGACACAGTTAATCTGGTATAGTGAAATATATAAAAATATATAATTTACATACAGTTAATGGATTGAAATATGTAAAAATAAGTCATATACACAATTATAAAGTAATATATATGTAAAATAAATTTAATTTATTATTATTTGTAAAAGATTTATAAATTTAACAATATTACGTGATACTATTATATTATTTTAATTAACCCAACTTGAAAATACATGTTATTTAATAACTATAACAATAATACTATTTTTTTTTTCATAAAGTAAGTAACTTTTTTTATTAAAAAAGTGTAATTTTTTGTTGTTTTTTTTTTATCGAATTGGTTCTTATAGGAGTAAAATAAATATTCTTAATCATAATTTCATATCTAAGTCGAAAATGGAACTTCGACATTAGATTAAGAACTTTGCATGTATTTATCTAATATATTTTGAAAATAGTTTTTTTTTTAATGTATTTAAGAAGCAAAAATATTTATATGTAAAAATTTATATTATTTTAATTTTCTTTTATTTTTTAAAAATTGTTCATATTTATTTAAAAGAAAAAAAAGAAAAGAAAAAAAAAGGAGCGAGGACGGGGGCGGGGCAGGGAAAAAGCTTAGATCTCACATGCATCCAACCTATGCATCAAAATCTCAAAAAATGAGATTTTCTTCAATCCCTCTATGGATTCTCAACATTCATGCACCTATTGAGTTTCTAAACTCACATGCAACCTAAACAATAAATATTCTAACTTCCCTCACCTGAAAATGGGCTCAAAATGGCCAACAACTGTGACGAAATAGAATTCCCTTCCGAAGCTCAACCCGGAACTTCAATCCTCCCAAAGCAAGCTTCCTAGTCTGAATTTCAAGAAAAGCCAGAAGGCGTTAGTGATCTAGAGGAGAAAAGGAATCATACAAAGAAATTTGGGAGAGAAAAGAGCTCACATACCTAGAGTCCTTCTCTCTAAAACTTCTCTCTAAAAACTCATTCTCCTCAACTGCCCCCAACCCCTATTTATAGACATTCCGGAGTGGTCAGAACGGCCTATATCGAAACCGGAACAGCCCGTTCTGCACTCCCTCAACACGTACAAAAACCACATGCAGAACGGCCCGTTCTCCATCCAGAACGGCCCGTACTCCCCTCCAGAATGGCCCGTGCTCCATCCAAAACGTCCCGTTCTCCAACCAGAACGACCCGTTCTCCCTCCAGAACGGCCCATTCTCAACTACGATTTTCAGTTCAATTTAATAGCTTGGAACGGCCCGTTCCAGATTGGGAACGGCCCGTTCTGGGCTACTAAATCAGCCATTTTTTTTTTTACATTACAGGCATAACCTTTGGTTAGAATATGATCCTAAATTGGTATTGATAGCATTAAGAGATGTTACTATTGTTCCTTGGACCAAATGAAGCAGATAGAAGCAGTGTCTACAATTATACTCGCGTATGCAATTTTTTCATCTCATTTTCTGAGAAGGTAATATTTATGCTGATAAATTTGTGTTTTATGGGATTGAACATAAAATTAACTTTGTTTGGTGGGATCTTCTTCCTAAATTCATTAGAGAAGATTTTTGTCATAATCGTTGGGTTTGCTACCGATTAGATTTTGTTGATGTTTCATGAGTGTTGGTTTAATCCCCCATGATTTTTTTTTATACGTTTTATCATTTGTAATCTTCTTTAAGGGGTACTGTAAATGAATGGTAGGCATTGAGGTGCTAACATTATTTGAATACCTTAATTCTATAATGATACTTAGCACTCCTAACTTTTAAATTAAATAATAATAATAATAAAAGTAATAATAATAATAATAAAGAATAAGAATAATAATAATAATAATATTATTATTATTATTATTA